GACATGTATGAGTACCCCCCCCCCCCCTCCACCCCGGGTACTCCCAAAAGAGAAACGAAAAAAAACTCAACCTTAAACAAAAATACCTACCACCCCGCACCCGACTCCTAATTTTAACACTGCGTTGCCAATTTTCCTGGATCAAACCTGTCGTCAACATTTCCAAAACAGCACGTCGACAAACAAGACGCGGCCTGGTTCGAGGGGGAGGCCGCCTCCAAAGAAAGGAGTTGTTATTCTACAGTAGCGGCCACGATTCAATATAGGGTCGTGACCAAGCCCAAATTTCTCAGTAAAATCGGCACTTCTGTTCAACCGTTTTGGCTACGGTTTAACATTATATAACGGAAACACGTAGGTACTGAATGCAAAATACGCAGGAAATTCCGCAGGTGCCGTGGAGGTACTGCACGCAGACGCGTCGGCAATGGTGGTTTGTGAACTTCGGCGGGCCTGGCGTGTAATAGGGGACAGCTGTGCAGCGACTGCCCGCTACGCAGGGCATGGTGTGCAACGCTGTGTGTTTGTGTGATGGCTGTACACAGCCTCCAGAAGCTCGATCGGACAGAAAATCTCAGAATACGTCAACCGACTTTGGCCTTGCCAAGCCATTTCACCTCTGTTGAACCCGTACTCTGTTCAACATCTCGTGTTAAACCGTAGCCGCTTCTGTATTTGAACTTCGTTCTTCTCTGAAAGCATAGGGACCGCCCAGATACAACGCACAGACTTAGCATCACAAGAGTGCGGCCACTTCGACGTATCTTCTTTCGAGGTCGGTGGCAGCTTGTGGTCGGCGGGGCTCTTGCTTGCTGGCCAAAAACAGCCCCGGGAGGAAGACAAGAAAGGTTCAGGTAAGCAACGCGTTCCGTTGTTGCGAGGGCTACAAGCAAAAATTTCAGGACCGTGCGCGGTCTTTCGTGTAAAAAAGGACTTCCTCCGCCGAGCCTGACCTATTTCATTCTTCATCCAGTATGCTTCCGTTCTTGAGAGAAAACCTTCGGAGGGGTATCGTACTTGCCTTCATCACCGGGAGGTAGGCCCACCGGCCTTTGTCGACGGTGTGCAGAGAGTTGTCGGGGGAGGCTTCGCCGAACCAGTCGGCCGCGAAGATCGTTGACTCCCCGTATTCCGTCAGTCCTTGCGCGGCTGTAACGCCCCCCTCATATTGAGAGAACCACAGGTGACGGTGGACAAGACAGGACGGGAGTGTTGCTCCTCTAGTTGCAGTGGCAGAAGCGCGGTGGTTTAATCAGCAGCGCGGGCACGGAGCCTCCCCCCCTCCCCCCCCGGATTCAATCAGCAGACGTGTCTTTTGGCGTACCACATTCTACTTCAGGCAGAAGGCTCGTACACAACTAAGCTCGGCGGTTGGATGAAACATGGCGTCTTCTTCGCGAGTTCACGCCAGCAACCGCGGCACAAGGGGTAGCAAACCCACAAGGGGACCGACTCACCTATCATGTTTCTTCGGATTTCAAAGACCGCATTCGACGACGAAAAAAAAATGCGTTCGGGACAAAATTCGCGTTTTACGACCAAAACGTACATTCGATGGTGTACTCCCAGTAGGGTATGGAGACGGAAGGATCCACCACCTGCAGAGCCTGCTCGAACTGCAACGTGTAACCCACGTGGTGCGTCATGATGCCTGCGAAACGATCCGCGTGTGGCAGAGCAGGGGGTCGAACAACAGCGTCAGGCGCAGCGGGCAATACCTCTACTTCCACCGCTCCCAGCCCCCCACAGATACTGGAAGAAAGTCCAAACCAGGACCTTTTTAGTCCAAAGTGGTCCAAGTGTGTGCAACATGCGAGATTGAACAGGAATGTTGTGGGAGTTCAACGAAGAGAGGAAAAAAACAACCTCTGGTCTCTATCGCGCACCGGCATCATCGTGCCAGTGGTCGCAGTCCTTCACGCCGGCCCCGTCAAGGTGCATCTGCACGAAAAAGTTGATGCCCTGCGGTTTAGGTTTGGAAACCACAAAAGAGGGAAGAGAGAGCGGAGCGGGGTTGATAATGTATCCTCGCTTGCTTGACATCCTCGGCCATCGCACAAAAAAACAGGTCGCCCCCCTGTATACTGAAAATCTGCAGAGTTTTCCAATGCAAGGTGAGCACGAAGAGGAAATACACGAAACCATATAACACAGCAACATTGGCAACGATCCCTCGTGTATTGAAGGCATGCCGGTGGGTTCAAAGGTTCCACCAGTGAGGGGAAGAGCAGCAAGAGCCAGAAAGAGAACATGATATCTCCTCGGGAGCATAGGCGGGAAAATGCGCTCAGGGATTTCTGAGAGCACGAGTGGCCGGCGGCTCGAACATGGGTGACCGGCGACAACAAAAACGATGGAGCTCGCGCTTTCGGTGTGTTCCGGTGTGTGTCGTTTTGTTTCATTTCTGAACTTGACAACACGAAAACGCACAAAAATCACAGCGAGTACGTATGTAGAACCGTGACACCACATTACATAACGGCCACTACCGCAACTGCTACGAGAGACGTCATTCTGTGAGGTGCGTTTGCACGAGGGGGAGTGCGAGGAAGTACCATTCTCCCCCGGCGGCGAAACAGATCGGAACGACAACGATCAACCTTTCCGCCTTGCGGTGGCATGGCTTTTCCACCGGGGGTAGGGGGTGCGTGGCAACGTGATAGTTTCGACCCACGATTGCATCCCAGCGCGACCTCTCCCACACCGGTGGGGGCAACGACGCGGCTTGGGGGCTTGTCGCCGCTCTTCCGCGCGCCGCCCCCGGCGGTCGGTTTACTTCGCGGAACGGAACTATACGGAACGGAATACCTTTGTGCTCCGTCGGCGATATTATCACATCGATTTAGATACAACAAATTCTCCCACACGGACGTCAGTATAATAAGCGAAACCAACCGCCAGAACCTCGGACAATCACCGACGGAAAAGAAGCCTAGAAAGGATGAACATGAAAACGAGAAGGGGAAGTGCGACCCGCGATGACGGTAAAATTTGCCGCGGTCCAAGGGGCCAAGGAGGAGGGGGGCGCACCTTGTACTCGTCGCCGTAGACCGCGTTCCCCTCGGAGGTGGGGAGGCGGTAGAGCGTCTCCATGGCGTCGAAAAACGCCTCCCTGTCCTCGTCCTTCAGCTGCCGAATCTCTCTTCGCACGTACTGCGAAAAAAAAAAGACGCGCAAAAAAATATAAGACGCAACCTTGAATACCTTCTGTACTTAAGAGCAAGGTGCACGGATGGTGCGTATCCTTCGGCAGAATGGCTCTCGGTTCGATCGAGAAACGGGATACCTCCTCCGTCTCCTGCTACCTTGAACATCGAAAGCATGAGACTTCCAAAGAAGTGCGCACAAGACGCTTCCTTGAAACCCGTTTTTCCGGTGAAGAGGTATCGTTGCTCGGCTTTGAAAAGCTGTCAGGTTTGATTTGTGCAGCTATTTCACTGCTGTGCTTATAATCATAGATACCAGGACTGCCTTCTTTCTCCTCCGAGAAACTCGCCGCTGCTTGTCCATCGGCGGCCTACGGCACCGCCTGCCCCTCTCCGTCTTTGACACAAGACGAGCATCGTTCCGTTTTCGATGCGTCTTTTCGGCACAGACGCGTGTCGTATCGTTTTTTTCTGCGGCGTATCATATCTTGCCCGTCTCGAATCACCCTGAGTTCTAGAATCTCTTGGCTTCACCTTCTACTGCAGGATCTGCATATCACGACTCCCCTGGCGGTGATCGATGTGCCAGAAAAGGGCCTGGCATTCTCAGCCGTCAAATCTCGCCTTTGTTGTGTTTCAACGCGCGTGTCGTGTGCCTGGAAGTGCATACTGCCGGAGTGGTGGTGGCCCCTTGCTCACACTTCTGAAATCTCTAGGACCTCCTGCCCGATGATTTCACGGTTTGCTACAAAGCACTGAGGCAGCGAGGTGGCTGATGAACGGCTCATCACCATCGCACCTTGACCATGACGTGGGAACTCATGCGGTACACGTTTCCGGTAGAAACGTCGATCTGCCTTAAGGCCACATCGTGCAGTCCGACCGACGTGAAGGTGTACTCCACCGTCCTGAAAACACAAACACACAACACATGACCAAAAACCGGAAGCACAAGGGGAGTTTCACAATGTTTTGGCTATTTGTATGCACAGAAAACCGACAACCGGGACAATTTTTGACGACTTCGAAACAACACACTCCGCGCAAATCACGAAAGACCTCATGTGAAGTGACCCTCCTCTTACCCGCCGGAAACGAAAGCTACGCGAATACGTGTACGCGCTGACTAAAAAAAGACGTACAGGTAGCCTAGTCTGACGCTACCTGCTCATTGCTAATACATCTTAGACTCTTTTCTTTTAGATGAACTCGTTGGGTCATACTAGGAAAAAATTAATCGTAGTACCTTCCCTCCAGCACAGTTCCGTCCCCGAACGACCACTGGAACACGTCAGCGTCGGGGTCCCCCACGGTGGAGCTGGCCGTCAAGGTGGTGCTCCGGTGGGGCTCCGCGATGTGGTCCCACTTGGTGCTGGTCGTCGCGGGCGGGTAACCGTTCGTGCACTGGAAGGTTATCGCATCGGAGGTGGCTTGCTGCCCCTGCTGCTGCTGCCGCTCCTTCTTCTGTGTCCTCGCTGCTGTCCGTCCGTCACGGACGAAGGGGTGGTTGTGGGCGCACTCACGTCAACGCATATGCCGTAGTCGTTTAGATCTCGTGCGGAGGGGGGGGGGGGGGGGGGG